CCGGGCACTCAGCAGTGGATCCGAGACCAAAGAGTACGGTCGAGGCGTTGACCTAAGGAACCCTAAATAAGGAACGAGGCCTCTATTTTCCATAAGTTGAACTTCGATTCCGTATCGAAAACCTAAGGAAAATCCAAAGCAAGCTGCGAAACAATGAGGGAACACGGAGCCCCTCCCCAACACAAAGGGTTCCTTCTTCAGGGCCCCGACCGTAGGCCCCCAGGGCGCACGTCGCGACTCCTGGGGCCGCGGATGGAAAAACTCAGGTCGGCGGACGTCAGGGTCGCCCAACATCGAGTCCCACACCTCCACCGTATGGGGGCAAGGAATCAAGGGGCCCAAGGACACACAAACAAATACACACAGATAAAATGATTCCCCATATTTTCCCATATTTTCTGGGTTTTTGTCTTCCCCCCCCAATTCCCGTATTTTCCCATATTTTCCTGGGAGTCGACGATTAATTGTGTCTGTGTATTTCTTTCCCTCCTGAAGGAAGCTGGACGGCATTTGTCGCTGTGTTCGGCCTCGGCTTGGATCGGCGCGGTGTTGGCCGAGGAGACACGGGGGCATCAGTGGATGCCGAAGTGGACCATATCTGGCCCAATCTGGCCCAGGAGGGTAACGCAAATACCAAATACCCGAAGAGGCTTCTATGGGGGGTTGGACAAATCCGCTATAAGTGGGCGGAGCCCGCTCAGCATGGATCCAAGAGGGCCCCCCCGCTGGGCTAGGATGAAAAGCCGGTCCCGGGGAAGGGGTCGAGACTTCTGGGGACCACGTATCGGGCGACTGTGAGACTCGGGTTGGGGGGACTCGGGATGGCCCGACGGGGCCAGCGGTACATGACGCGACACAGACCGAGATTTGAGGCGAACTCCCGCTGCAGGCATCCCAGGAAAACTGGACCGTCAAAATCCTGGGCGGGCTCGCCAAAAAGCATCGGCGAACCCGAGTTCAGCCGTACTCGAGTCGCAAGTTTCACCGAACGTACTGCAAAAATCCACATCATCGGATCGCCGGGTTCGGAGACTCGGATCTGAGTATCGTTTAACCGATCCCCATCCCCGACGGCGTGGCCTGGGCCCCACTGGCCGATTTACCCCCCTAGATGGGGATATGGGTCGTTCCCTTCGAGTGTCGAGGGGTGAATCCCCAACTGGGGTGGTAATTTGGTGGGGGTCTCGAAGGGGATGGGGATGGGGATGGGGATTGGCCAAACGATGCCGAGCACCAGGTCAAGATGCTCGGAGTAACGATTCCGGGGATCGAGTTTGGGGATGGGGATGGAGGTAGTAATGATACCGAGGATGGGGATGGGGATTTAAGGAGCCGAACTCTACACACCGAAGCTTTTTCCGGCCCGCACTGAAATGCGAACAAGAAAGCGGATCCTGGTGTATACGGATCCTGGTGTATACATGTTTTGATGTTTCCCCCCCGGGAAATGGAAACACACATATACACCACACCACCCCGACGTCGTCCACCGACCCTCTAAAAGTTCTGGGATCGAAAAACAGCCCGCCACTGGTAATGCACTCCAGATTTCGTAATAAAAGGGAGGGGGTCTGGACCCTCCAAGACAAGCCATTTCAGACCTCCCCCGTGGGAGAACCTTCCAAAACATCGTCCCCAGACCCCCCAGGCCCTCCAAGATAGCCTGGAAGAGACCCCCCTCCGAAATGAGACGCCCCTCCCTTTATTACGAAATCTGGAGTATATGTTCCAGGTTCCGAGGCTTGGTGAAACGATCCCGGGGATCGAGCCGAGACAGCGGCGGCCCTCTCAGGCATCTGTCGCCCCGCGTGGGGCCCCTGGCGGCGTCCCGTCGCCACGGCCGTCCGTCGGCGGCCTCTCGGCGGCCCCTCGGCGGTCTCTCGGCGATCCTCAGGGGTCTTCGGCGGTCTTCGGCGGTCTGGACGGCGGCCCGACACGGCTTCCGGCGGTCCTCGGCGGTCCTCGGGGTGAAAGCAGGACATTTCGCGCTAACAGGGGGTCCACGATCGAACACGTAACGAACTTGCAACGCGGCTGGCAGCCGCGACCGGAGCCCTAGACCCCTCTTTTCTGCGACATTTCTGGAACCGCATGGATCTGTGATGGTCCCGGGGCCCAAAACCAGCGAAAATGCCCACTGCGAAAAAATCCAACGCCCGATCTCGGGTCCCTGGAGGTTCACCTGCTTGGCGTTTCGCCCCCCTGCGGCGGCAATTCAAGCAGCGCTGGACCGAAGAGGCGTGCAAATGGGTTCTGGCTTGCGTGAAAACCAGATTGCTTTTTGGGCCTCGCCACGCCGATGCGAACAACCTTGTCGGAATTCAAATAAAAACACTGCCTCCATTCGACGCCGTGGTCTGTCTTTAACAGGAAGAACTACGTGAACATAAACTTGAAGAGCTCCCCAGCTTCTTGGGTCGGCGCTGGACCCCACTGGCGGCGCCTCTGGCGCCGCCCCTGGCGCGCCCCGCGCGCCAAGGAGGGGGGGTGGGGGGCAGCGCCGATCCCAAGAATCTGCGCGGAACTCCTAAAGTTTACGTTTCCGGTGTTACTATTCTTCCTTTCCGTTGCCAGTAGATGATGGGGGAGGGACCGTCGGTGCACTGGGACTACCCTGGGGGCCGTCTGTGTGCAATCCGAAGCCTTACCACAACCGCCGTCGTGAGATCTGTTCCCCTTGAAGGGGGTCGTCTCTTTTTGTTCGCGACCAGCGATTTCGCCCTATTTCAAACCCAGGACCATCACGGATCGATCCAGCATCAGAGAAAGATTGGGTCCAGGGCGGCGTCGTGATTTCCATTGATCTTGATGTTATATATCGTGACGAGGGATCTGAGGTCTGGGCCACATCCTGGGGATCAAACTTTTCACACAAGGTAGTTGTTGATGGTCTTGGGGCCTAGCAATGGGGCCGTCGAAGGGAGAAGGTTCCAAGAAAGCATCCGCCCCGCCAACCCCTTGGAGTTCCTGGGTCGCAGAGGTTGTGGGTATGCAGGTCGCCTGGAATCGCTGATAGGACCTAAAGATGTGCCTGATATTCGGCAGGGAATACCCAAACATCCGACGACGTCAGTGTTGCTCAACGTGGCTCCCCAGAAGTCTGGACCTCTTCCCGCGACCTGGTGTCTCATACCGAGCCCTTTGTTTTACGGTCCCAGGGCCTGGTGAAGCCCCCCAGAGCCAGACAAATGTCTCCCAAATAGAGGGCAAACAAACCTGCCTCGCTTTTGTCCACCCTCGCTTCCAAGAGATACCGAGCGATGCCAAACTACGGCCTGTACTGGTCAGGCCGCTTGACGAGGCGCGTGGTATGGCTTGGTTTTGTCTGGAAGCGAAAGCGGGGTAGGTAATTCACGCTCTGACCAAAACCTGCCGCCGCAACTTGCTCACGACGCCAGGATGTCAGGGCTGGCGGGAGGCCTCGGCTCCGAGGGCAGTGTCAGGATCAGTCAGCACCGACTCGGTAGCTCGGATCGAAACGGCAGGTGCGTCAGGCCGCGCAAACATCAGGCCACATCGGATCGTCCGAACATCGGACTCGGATCAGATCGGGCCAGCCGGAGTCCATCATAGATCGATATCGTGAAGGATCGAGTCGACATCGACCAATGTGACTTCAGCAAGTGGCTCCCCCGATCCTCAGATGATCTCCAGGGAGCCCAGGACCCAGAAGGCGAGGTAGATGAACGAGGGTCCGAAGAGGAAGGCGGCGAGCAGGGGCGGGTTGGGCGCGCCGAGGGGCACCTGCGGGAGAAGAGGCATCACAGGGGGGCCGGTCCGGACAACGGCGGCCCTCCCTGGTAGTTTTTTCGGGAGCTGCTGCGCCACGGCAGTGCACCCTCAGACTTTGGAGTCCCGAAACGGTCTTGGGACCTCGGAGGCCCAAGTCGCCCGAGACGTCCTCGGAGAACGACCCGAGTCCAAAACCGTACGGTGACCCCGAATCCCCACCGACTCACCGCACGGTGTGGTCACCACCCTGTTTGGGGCACCCCCGACAGACAACCTCCGACGAACTCTGCATGCACCTTCGGGGGAGGGTGGCGGTGCAGAAAGTCGCTGGCTCTCAGTGGCGATGTGTATACACCGCCACCAGGAAGAAGCCGCTGGAGGGTGCCTGTGCCCATACTCTTGTGGCAGAGTTGCCGGCGGTGCCCCCCTGGCCTCGGGAAAGCTCCCTGTTTGGGAGCCCTCTGGGGCCCCCCAGGCCTCGCGAGGGGAGCCTCGTTGGAGACCGCGGGGGACTCGTTGGGAATCCTTGGGGCACCTCAGGCCAGTGGCACGTTCGTGCGAGAACAGGCGAACGCTTCCTTGTTCGGCGTCTCTACATTGGGCGGAAAGGGGAGGGAGGGGGGGGGGTCTGGCTCTGGGCCTCTGAGCCTTCCGAGACGCTCTGGAACGGCCTATCCCTGTCCGAGCCCCGCCCGAAACGGCGGCCCCTGGAGGCTTCTCGTAGCCACGGCTGGATCCGCCTCGAAAGACGGGTCAGCATGGATCTTGGAGTCCCGAAACGGTGACCTCGAAATCCCCCAAGACCTCACCGCATGGTCCGTCACCGCACGGTCTTGGGACCTCGGAGGCCCCTGTCGCCCGAGACATCCTCGGGAAGGGACTCGAGTCCCAAAACCGTGCGGTGACCACACGGTGTGGTCACCAACCCCGCTTGGGGGCCCCCGAGGACGGGTCATAAAGGCCTCCTAGATGGGGTCCGAGTAGATGGGGTCGGAGGATCGCGCCGCATCGCCGATACATCGGCGATGTACCGGCGATGAATCGGCGATGCACCAGCGATGCATCGTCGACAGCGGCGATGCATCGGCGACGTCGACGTGAAGCAAATCGGGCTCCACATCGACGATGCGGCGCGATCCTCGGACCCCATCTACTCCGACCCCATGTAGGAGGCCTAAGGGTCAGCATGGATGCCGGGAGGGGTCCGGAAGCGGTCCGGGCACCGATCCTGGGCGGCCTCGGGCCAGGCGGGAGAGCCGCCGTGGTCTGAGCTGGCCCTCCTCCGAGTTGGGGGAAGCCAAGAGGTGCCAATACTGATGCAGGGTTTCCCCCAGGGCCGTAAGCGACCCGAGGAGGAGGATGATGATGATGACGAGGAGGAGGAGGAGGAGGAGGAGGGGGAGAAGGAGGAGGGCGAGGAGGAGGAGGAGGACGGGTCGCCTAAGCCCTTCGGCTCCACTGCTACTCCCCCCTTCTCTCCCGGGGTGCGCTCTGACCAAAATAACAAGGCGAGACCAGCGGCGGCGACGAGGGCCTCCCGGGAAGCCGCACAGGGGGACAACGTGCGAAACGTAGCGGTATGGGTAATCACCTCTTCCTCCTCCTAGAACTGGGTCACTCGACTTCGCGCATCGCGCCCCACGAATCGCGCCGCGTGGGTATCTCCGAGCTCTCGCGCCGTCGCAGACCGCAGCGCGCGAGGCAAGGTGGTGGACCTTCGCTCCCCTGGGGTGCGACGAAGCCAAGTCGAGTATGACATCGCGTGGAGATCAAACGAGAATCTCTGAGATCCGGCGGCAGTGGAGGATGTCTCGGGCGCCGCGGCCTTCCCAGAGCGTTCCGGAACGCTCTGAGGCCGTTCCGGAACGCTCTGGAATGGATTCATCCTCGTCCCAGCCCCGTCCAATCACTTTTCCTGGCGGTGACCTCTCGAAGGTCAGCGCTTAAGGTCCGCGCGATTATTGGATCGGCACTGGACCACGCCCCTGGCGCGCGGAGCGCATCAGGGGCGACGCCATTGGCGGCGCCAAAGGCGCCGTTAGGGGGCCCCAGCGCTCATCCAAGACATCCGCGAGAGCATTCGCACATTCCCTCCAGCAACTTTTTTTCTGTAAGGGTGCTGAATATACCGAGTGCGGGATCCCGTGATCTGGAATCGGCGGGCCGCCATTATCTCCCGGCGTCTCCCGTTGTCTCCGTGATCGCTCTAGGTGTCTCCGTCTATGCCCCTCTCTCCGCCACAGCGTGAAGCTGTTCAGGGTCTTATGCCCCAGGGTCGTAGCCTGTGTTGATGCATTTGCTCCTCTCCGAACCTCGTCGAGGTCCAACTCGTCCGAAGGGTTGATGTAGACCTTGTCCCCCCGAACCTTGAAAGGCTTCACAGGCGCCGCCTCGGAGTCCGCGGGCTTCACGGCCTTGGGGGAGTCCCCGAAGTTGTTCGGGATGCTGAAGCTCGGCAGGGAGATGCTGAAGCCGCCGCCTGCCTCCTGCCCGGCCGGCGCCGCCGCCACCCTCTCCTCCTTCTTCGCCTCGGCGACCTGGGCCTCCCTCTTCTTCTTCTTCCTGGAGATCTTGCCCGCGATGGTGCTCTGGGTGTCCTGGACCTCGGGGATCTTCTGACCTGGGTCAAGCGGCCGCCTCGCGGTCACGAGCGGCTCCCGAACCCGGGTCAGCCAGAGGGGGCCTCCGCAGGATCCTGCAGGATCCGGTGCCCTGGCTGACCCCCGTTTGCATTGACCCCCGTCTCGAGGCCCCCGAGGACCTCGTCGTCCGCGCGCACCGGGCTGGCCACCATCGCCACCGCGAGGCCGAGGGAGGCGGCGCAGACCGCGAGGCCGACCAGCGGGCGCGGGGCGTCCTGGGCGGCCTCCTCGGGCAGCCGCACGGGGAGCCCTGCCGCGGGAGAGAGGCCAGGAGCCCCCGTCGGAGGCCATCCAGGTGGCGCGCCTGGGATTCCAGCCGGCCTTGCTCGCATTGGACTCCGCGTCGCCCGAGGGGGGGGGCCGAGGCTGAGTCGGTCAACTTTTAATGGGCGAAGAGCGGTATAAAATAAACTTTCCAGCCGCCCTGGGGCAGGTGTCTCCGACGGCGGAAAGTTTATTTTATACGTAGGGGTATAAACTTTCCAGCCGCCCTGGGGCAGGTGTCTCCGACGGCGGAACGTTTATTTTATACCGTTCTTCGCTCGCTGAAACTTGAAGGCCCAACAGATGGAGAGCCTCTGCTCCGACTGGACCTGCTCTAATTCGGCTCAGCCTCCCCCCGACTGCACGTGCAGGTCAGCTGTCTGGAGCACTGGCTGGGGCTCAGAACTCGAATGCTGCAGCGAAGTGAACCTCAGCGTGGGTGCTCGATTCATGCGGGACAGTGTTTGAGAGCGAGAGGGAGAAGAGAGAGAGAGAGAAAGAGAAAGACAGAGAGAGAGAGAGAGAGCAATTAAAAGAGAGAGAAGAGGGAAGGATTAAGAGGGTACTCTGCCGCTGGAAGCATCTCGACGGAAGACGTCCGAGTCCTCTCAATGACGAGGACGGCGACGTCGTCGACGGCGCCGCCGACGCCGACGCCGACGGCGACAACGACAACGCCCACGAGAAAGCTCAGGTTCCAGCTTCCACCGCCACAAGGCGCTGCGGCGCTGCGGGCGGCTTGGCCCCCCGTGCCACACATCTCCTATCCGCTGTCCACACCAAATGCAGCTCACATCAAGTACTGCTCCGTCCAAAGTCGATAGAAACGTACCAAGACTCGACCCAGCTCAAATGGAATCCTACCAGGGTTCGACCCAACTCAAAAAGCATCCTACTAGGGTTCGATCCAGTCCAAAAAGAATCCTACTAGGATGCGATCCAGCCTATAAATGGAAACCCTACTAGGGATCGCTCAGCTCCACTCGAAGCCTACAAAGGGTCGAGTCAAACCTCTGAGAGACCTAGAAGAGCTCGATCAAGTCCTACTATCTTGCTAGGGATCGACCCAGCTAATCCGCCGATCCGGCGTGTGAGTTTCAAGGAGTCTCAGCTACAGCCTCGAGGCTGAGCCTCAGCCTCTGGGGGGGTTGCCGGGGTGGCTCTGCCGGGGGAAGGGAGGGTGGGGGGGGGGGGGTGCGAGTTTCCGGCGGATGCGTTTTTTGACACCCCTCACAAGGATCGTGGCCTCCGAGGGGTTTCCGAACTCGAGTGCCACCCCTCCCGCACCAAGAGGCTCCGAGGAGGCCTCCAAGAGGCCCCAAGGGGCGCAGAAGAGGCCCCCAAGAAGCCCCAAGAGGCTCCCAAGAGACCCCCAAGAGGCCCTCTAGTGGCCCCAAGAGGCCCAAGAGGCCCCCAAGAAGCCCCAAGAGGCGCCCAAGAGGCCCCCAGAAGTCCCAGCCAACCACGAGATCCCAACCAGCATCCATGAGGCCTCTGACCCACCACCCACGCACGGTGGCGGGAGCGGGATAGGCCGACGGCCTCTGGAAAAATGCTGAGTGAGAGGAGGGGAGGGAAAAAGAGAGGAGGGACGAGGGCGAAGAAGGATCACATCAGTCGGAGCGCCCCGGATCGGCGGCACTGGCCGAAGGCCACTACAATACAGAAACCTATCAATGCGTCGTCAGTGCCATTCGTCGTCGTCAGCGTCGTCTTCTTACTCGTCCATCGTGGTCGTCCTTATCGTTCATCGTCGCCGTCGTCGCAGCCGTCGTCGTCGTCGACTTCGTCGTCAAAACATCGTCGATATGGTCGTCGTCTGCGTCGGTGGCACCCGCGCTCTCCGTCGTCGTCTGCCTCTGGCGATACGGGGGGGTGGGGTCGAACCCCCTTGAGGGTTGGGGGGGTCATGTTCGAACCCCCCCTTGCAAATCGGGAGGGGAAAGGGCCTGGTTTGACCCAACACCTTTTTCAAAGCGTCGAACGTACACGCTCCTTCCCCGAAAATCGGCGGTGGACAAACCTCCCTTTAGTAAACCTCCATTTAGCGAAAACGGCCTGGGGCCGAAACCGACAGACCTGGACCCGCGAAAATGTCGGCCGCGACGCCCTCTCGCGAACCGAAAACGGCCAATTCCTTAATCGACGTGTCAGGGTAGGAGGTCCATCCACCTCCGAGAAAAGGAACGCGAGAAGAAAGCAGCAGCAGGAACACACAAGCGGCACAGACATCCAGAACATCCAGATGCGGTGGCTTACGCAAAGGGCCTGCGAAGAGGCCCCGAAAAACGAAAACGAGGCAAGGGTAGTGTTATGTCGGGCCCGTCCCTCTACAGGAAAAATATTCAAACAAAAATAACAAATCATCCGGGGACGATTTTTTACGATGTTTGGAATATTTTTGGATTTGTTTTGACTATTTCCACTGTTCGTCAAAAATCCCCCTGTACGGAGACACGCCCGACCTGAGGGCAGTGGGGTCGGAGCACCATTTGACTCCTCTGAGAAGGGCCTCGCGCGACTCCCAGCCTCGAAGCCGAGCCAAAACTGCCAACACCGTCAAGAGTCAAGACCGGAGCCATGGACCCCCCCCCTCCTGCAGCATGCTTCAATCGGGAGCGGCCAACAGGGGGGTGTCCAAGAGGGGGGGGTGCAAATCATGACCGGCGGCATGTGCGCGGCCCAGCGGGGGGGCCTAGGACGTAATGAAAGAAGAAGCGTCATGGCCCGCGCCATGAAATCCACCCCCCCTAGTCATCCCCCCCCTCTTTTCCGCTCCCGATTCAAGCAGGCTCCAGCTGTGCTGGCCCCGGGGCCTGGAACCCCGCGGAAACGCTGGCCCTGACGAGAACAGCACCCACTCACCGTGACCATGTTTTTGGACTCCCTTCGGGCCCCGCTGTAGCGCGGTACAGTCGGGGCGTTGACCTAAGGAACGATAAATAAGGAAAGAAGCCCCTTTTTATCCCAAGGAATAACGCATGAGGAACGATAAATAACAAATAACGCACAAGGAACTGTAAATAACGCATGTAAAATCTAAGGAACGACCGAGCCCCTTTTGAAAAGTAAGTGTTCCTTACTCAAGCCGCTCACTGTACGGTGCACACTTGCTCGGCTCTGAGGGCCAAACAACGATGCATAGCAACATTGCTGGCTCGAGGATCGACGACGTCTTGGGGGGCGCCAGCGGGTTACGGTGCACACACGTCGTCGGCGGAAGCTCTGACGCAAATCGCAACGCCAAGATCTCAGGGCGAGAGACAAGACAATCGACACCCAAAAAAACAGGGCACCCTGGAGGCAAGCAGGGTATTTCTTGGCATGGGTCTCAACTGTGAGCCGGATCGGCGATCGAAATGAATTGGAGAAGTCGAATCGGTAAATTAGCCTGACGAAGGACCCAACCATGTGCAGTTGCGAGTACCGCATTGTGGGGACCAGTTTAGGTGCAGCTCCTATGGGGCCACGAAACTTGTGAGGGGTGCGCCGAAATTGGTGGCGCGGACACATGTGGACACCGCCACTGGGGCCTTCGGTGTAGCTTCTTATGGGGCCACGAAACGCTGCCCTGGGCGAGGGAGACGCATGCGAACTGCGCCATTGGGACCTTCGCTGGGGTTCCTTATGGGGCCACGAAGCGCTGTCATGGGTGGGGGAGACGCATGCGAACTGCGCCTCTGGCGCCTTCGGTGGAGCTCCCTATGGGACCACAAAGCGCTGTCCTGGGTGGGGGGAGACGCATGCGAACACCCCGATTGACGCCTTCGGTGGAGGTCCCTATGGGGCCACGACACGCTGTCCTGGGTAGGGAGACGCATGCGAACACCCCCACTGGGGCCTTCGGTGGAGCTCCCTATGGAGCTACGAAGCGCTGCCCGGGTGGGGGAGACGCATGCGGGCACCCCCACTGGGGCCTTCGGTGGAGCTCCCTATGGGGCCACGAAACGCTGCCCTGGGTGAGAGAACCGCATGCGGGCACCCCCACTGGGGCCTTCGGTGGAGCCCCCTACGGGGCCACGAAGCGCTGCCCTCGGTGGGGGAAACGCATGCGGGCAACCCCACTGGAGCCTTCTGTTGAGCTCTCTATGGAGCCGCGAAGCGCTGCCCTCGGTGGGGGAAACGCATGCGGGCAACCCCACTGGGGGGCCTTCGATGGAGCTCCCTATGAGCTACGAAGCGCTGCCTTGGGTGAGGGAACCGCATGCGGGCACCCCCACTGGGGCCTTCGGTGGAGCTCCCTATGGGGCCACGAAACGCTGCCCTGGGTGGGGGGGACCGCACGCGGGCACCCCCACTGGGGCCTTCGGTGGAGCTCCCTATGGGGCCACGAAGCGCTGTCCTGGGTGGGGGAACCGCATGCGGGCACCCCCACTGGGGCCTTCGGTTGTGCTCCCTATGGGGCCACGAAGCGCTGCCCTGGGTGGGGGAACCGCATGCGGGCACCCCCACTGGGGCCTTCGGTGGAGCCCCCTATGGGGCTACTAAGCGCTGCCCTGGGTGGGGGAGACGCATGCGGGCACCCCCACTGGGGCCTTCGGTGGATCCCCCTATGGGACCACGAAACGCTGGAACAGCATGCGGGCACCCCCACTGGGGCCTTCGGTGAATCTCCCTATGGGGCCACGAAGCGCTGCCCTGGGTGGGGGGAACCGCATGCGGGCACCCCGATTGACGCCGTAGGTGGAGTTCCCTGTGGGGCTATGAAACGCTGCCCTGGGTGGGGGACCCGCATGCGGCCATCCCCACTGGGGCCTTCGGTGGAGCTCCCTATGGGGCCACGAAGAGCTGCCCTTGGTGGGGGAACCGCATGCGGGCACCCCCACTGGGGCCTTCGGTGGAGCTCCCTATGGGGCTACGAAACGCTGCCATGGGTGGGGGAACCGCATGCGGGCATCCCCAGGGGGCTTTCGGTGGAGCTCCCTATGGAGCTACAAAACGCTGCCCTGGGTGGGGGAACCGC